TATTGTTTATACTCAAATTAACTTAAGATTAGACCCTAAACAATTTTGGAATTTTGTAAAAACTCGAGATAAATCATTCCCTAATATTATGTCTTATAATAATATAAGTTACGAAGATGATAATTCTATTAGTAATATGTTTGCAAAATATTTTAATACTTTCTACTCTGATACACATATTAGCGACATTACTTCTCATGCTTATTTAAATACTTATAACAATCAATTAAATATTTTTTATATATTTATTTCATTATAAAATGTTTATGAAACATTAAGTACTATTGGTAATAACTATAAAGCAAGTCCTGATTTATTACCTGAGTTATTATTTAAAATCTGTTTAAACGCATTAGCTCGTCCTATTCACTTCCTATTTAATTTATTTCTCTTATCTGGTGTTAACCACTTTTTTGGAAATCTAGCTTTATAAATCCTATATTTAAATCATGTGACAAAGCACAAGATACGAATTATAGACCTATTTCAAAACTTAGTGTCTTGCCCAAACTTTTTGAAAAACTATTAGAACCTCTATTATTTAAAACATTTAATCCTATTTTAATCAACCCAGCTGACTCTGAATTTTCGTCAAGAGACAAATTAGGTATTGTATCTTTATCTCAAAAAAGACAATATTTAGATGTTAGTTTTGTTTATAATTTACTAAATAATAATATTGAAGATGCCATTTTACTGGAAACCATATTGAAAATTAATGTTCCAACCTTTAATTCTAGAAATTATGATCTATTTTATCTAAGTCATCACACTCAAAACTACAATTATTATGAACCTATCAATAAAATGTTAATGAATTGTAACGAAGTGAACAATTTTGATTTTTTCTTTGATAATATGTATAAATTAAAAAGAATTACTATTTTTATAATTGAGTCGTCCAGTTGCAAAAGGTAGTATGTCCAAACAAATAAAGTTTTCACAAACAGCAAAAAACTGATATTTCCATTAATATTTTATAAAACGTCACAATTTTTTTTTCATAAATATATATAAAAAAAAAAAACATTTTACTTTTTTTAGAATATAGAAATCGTGGATAAGTAGTTTTTTAAATAATTTATATTTAAAATTGGACATATTCCCTTTTCCAACTAAAATATGAACATACTACCTTTTGCAACTGGACGACTCAATTAATAGATTGTAAACTTTAACATTTGTAAACTTGGTACTTGTAAAACTCTGTACTATTGCCTTCGGGGCGTTAAAATATAAATAAATATTTATAATTATAATAATATCAATTATTATAATATATATATACATATTAATCGTATTTGCAGCAAAACGTAGGTAAGTACCTACTTACTTCTTCTACAGCTATTTGGGAAATCAAAATAAATGTAAGATGAGCACAGCGTAGACAAGTAAACAATTATTCATTGTTGCTATTAAAAGTAGAAATGTTTTTATGAACCATATTAATATTTTCGAGTTTGGTAAATATATAATATATAAGCTTGATGCGTCGTACACATGTATTTAGCTGGAATAACAATAAATAATTGAATATAATTAATTCGTATTTTTCTTATATTATAATGTTCTGTTCTGAAACAGCCAAGTAGCAAGAGAAAGCAATTATTTATAAATGATGCATGACCATTAACTAAACGATAACTTCTAAAAATGATTTTTGGTTTTGAATATTCAACAGAAAAAAAATATAAAATGTATATATATACAGTTTTAGGCCAGAAAAAAATTGTTGTATTAACTTATGCCATCATGGAAGTTGTGTTTTATTTTAAAATATTCTCTTCATGCTTATCGCGGGACATGGAATATGATTTTCAAAGTTGTCACGACCACTTATTATAATTACGTACACTATTTTTTCGCTCGGCTCACATTTGTAATTTCTTATTATTTCCCGAGTGGCAGTCACCTAAAGATGATTAAATGTATATAAAATAACATTATAGGGGGAAAAACCTTTCCCGGAATTTAATTCAATTTGTCTACGGTACAGTCGTGGAGATAAAAGAACTCGGAGAACATTTAGAGCACACAATAATGCTCTATGTATTGGTATAATAAGGGCTAATTTGAATGCTTCGGGACTCTCGTGACGTTTGATTCTAGTAAACGGCAATACATTCATACAACTCATTGTCATAATACAATTAAAATTTAAACAAAGCACAAATTAAAATCACTCAATACAGTTTGAATACCGAAATCAAAGAATCCGAAAAATTAAAAATATTTTCGTTAATTTATTTTATAACTTGCCGAATACGAGAACATCTTTTGTGGAACATAAATGATGTTCGAATACCGGTGATTTGATTAAGAGAACGCTGTTAACGCTGTTAACGCTGTACTCGAATAAATACGTTTGACAAGAAATTGTTAAAAATGTTAAAGTTTCATTTTATATTTTGTATCCATTATTTTGTGTGTATATGTATGTATGTGTGTGTGTGTGTATATGTAGGGAATGGAAGAAAAGTAATCTTTTGAAAAGCAACTACGTTTTATGTCATTCGTAATCAGTCTTCAGTTTTTGTAGTATTACCTACACTTAAAATTAAGTTTTCATAAAATTACAGCTTTATTCGTCATACAACAATCGAAATTTTTGCGGAATTTTTTTGTTACACATTTTAAGTGTATGGATATTTAGGGTATTAAGATTGAAAGTAAAATAAAAACAAATAATAAAATAAATACAAATATATATATATATATATATATATATATATATACGTATGATTGTTTCATAAAGAATTCACATTTGAAAAAATTATTTTGTAAACTAAAATTTGTACGACTAGTTTTAGACGAATACACTTTTTGTAAAGTTTACACAAGATAAAATACTGCAGAAAATTAATTTTACATATACGTTTCATGCAAGACACGCCGGTAACTGATTACTATTTATAGATAGCATTTTTTATTTTCTTATTACAAGTATTAAGATTGATGATAAAAGTGTCAATATCAATCGAACAAAGTCGACAGCAGTATTCACTCAAAATTTGGGCGATGGATTTCAAATAAACATTAATAATAAAATATCGAAAATGTTCTGTACATTCATTCTAAAAATTATAGATAGTCGGTGCCATTATATGTATAAAAAAAAAGTTATGGAATAATTTAAAAAACAAATTTGAATAATATGAATTTTGGTTTATATTTTTTTAAGTATTTATGATAATTTCGTTTCGCATACACGTATTATCATTGAGTATTTTCGTTTTTCCATCCAATGTTATTTTATAATACAGATACAATAATTTTAACGGCAAAAGTATTAAATATTACGATAAATCATTTTGATATTGTTTTTAAAGGCATAAAAAATATACCGCATTTATGAGGACCGTTGTTACGACGATAACACTATCGATTACGGAAAATATTTATTATAAGTGACCCACGATTAAATATCATTTTTTTTTTTTTTTTTTTTTATTATTTATTAAAAAGAATAATAGTACTATTGGTACTTGTAAATTACTAAAACGCACTTTTTATGGTAACTAAGTCACTTGATATTATTTTTATTCGTTGTTTTCCAACGGTAATACGTTGCCCGTGTTTAATGTGGTTTAATGTTCAATGTATGTGTGTGTTATAATGTAGCTCTGCAGGTTTTCAGTTGTATGTACAGTTGATTTTTCCCCAAAAACTTGCGTATTCTTCTTAATTTTATTTGCTTAGATGGATTTTTTTTTCTTTTAGGCGACGCACTATCCCCGCTACTGTTCAATTTAGATTTAAAAAATCTGTAAGAATGATACAAATTGTAGTAAGTGGGATTGCGATCAACAAACACCAAGTAAACATTCTAGGTTTTATAGATGATTTGAATATCCTTAGTGAATCACTAGAGGTTGCTTTATATCTAACTATAGCTCCTGAAAATGTTACAGCAAAAGTAAGATTACATTCATATACCCCGTTTCTTATAATTGACCCGGATTTAGTAAATGCTCATCAACTGGTCCTATGTGATTCACCTTAGCATTTAAATTTTCACTACTTGTATTTTGTACACCCAACTCTGGATTATCTATGTAACCAGTTGACCTCGTGAACTCCGCATTTTACACATATCATACTGATGCCTATCTATAATAGTTGTTCTAATATTTATTATGTACTATGTGTCTTCTTTACAATATAACTTGTTAGGACCTACATATATTTATGTCCATAATAGTACTATACCTAATTTGCATTTTATCGACAGTCGTGCAATAGGGGTGGCGCGATCTTAGATCGCAGTTCATGATCGCGATCGTATAAGGGAAAACGTATCTTAAATGCTGTATTTGCAGCGCTGTTATTATTATATCTCGTACGCGGCCTCGTTAAAAAAATATTGTTTTTAATGAACCCACGCTCGCAAACAATTCAATCGCGCACATGATTGCGGAAATTAGCGCTGTGCGTACACCCGTGCACGGATGTTTCGCGGGCGTCACGAGTGAAAAAAAAAATTAAGTAATTTAAAATTAAAATAATAATAATGGTGGTTGAGGGAGAGGGGAAAACAATAACGCTCTGAAATGCACCATAAATGTTGATTATAAAACAGTGGTGCGTCGTTGATGCAGAATAACAGGCGGTGTGCAGTATAGTGTAAGGTGTAGGGCGTTGACTTTTTATATTTATATGTAAAAAAAAATTAAAAAAATATAAATATATTCGTTTATTTTATTTTTTTAAAATCCTTCAAAACGATTGCAGTCGTGGGACCGTTGTGCTTAACGCATTGTATAATATAATGCGGCGGTGGGGGGTAAAACCATGCACATAATTTAACAGGCATTTTAATTAAAACCACCGAGTTATTAATTTCGTACTAAATGATTCCGCTGTTATTTTCGTCGTTTAATCGTCATTATTATTATTTACTACTATGGCGGTTATTACGATTATAATGATTTGAAATTTTTTCGTAATTTTTATACATGTTTTTTCATCGTTTATCGTTTATTTTTTATTTTTTCTTCTAGAGAGCAACCGGACAATGGCCCCTTGGTCGAAGTCGAATGATTTTACCGTGCATTTGGTGAAGCAAGGTGATCATCTGCTGTTGCCGTGTGACGTGTACGGATTTCCACCTCCGAAAGTGACGTGAGTAATTGCATTTCACCATCAAGTTTAAAGTAATTATCAATATAGGCAATCGGTAAACATTCATCTGTTCATCGTACTCTTAACCTTCTACAACAGAAACGGTAATTGTTTCGTTTTCTGGAAGTAAAACACTATTGTTCACTCTAAGTATATAACGTGTCAATAACACCTGAGCACTTACTCGTCATACTGTTAGTAAGAGAAGCATTTTAAATGTGAACATTTTTCCTAAAGACGTTTCGAAGACAAGTACAAACGCGTATTTTAAACAATTAAACGTAACATTCCGGTACACAAACTGGTCAGAACAAAGGGATGTCAATTCGTTTCTATTTATTTACAACACGAATCATCGAGTATATACTGGTATACAGTGACATACATTCAATTTTCTTATGATGGTGATCATATTATATATATATATATATATATATTTTTTTATGTCAATAACTATCTATTTGATATTGTTCTAAGTCTATTTTATAACTCATCTGACGAAAAATCAATGTTTTTACAATTCCATCATAATTGACAAATATATTATATTTTGTACACACGTTAAAATATTCATGGTATGCATAATTTTTATTCTAACCATTTCAAAACTGTATTATTTAGTCAAGGGTATTTATGCAGCCCCTCCTCCTACTTCTCATCCTCTGTAGAAATATGTGATATACAATAATAATAATGTATAATAATTATAATGTGCATTATTGACCTGGTGAATTATTTCATATTAAGAGACGTCCATTACAGATTTTTTTATAATTTAAAATATTACTTATAATTAGTTGACGTTAAAAAGTTTAAAAAAAATCTTAATTTTTTCTATAATTTTTAAACTTCTATAAAATGTATATTAATTTTTCTTCTTATGCAATGAGAGATTCTACATAATATTAAAACCTCTGTTGTTAATGCGGTTTTGTCAAAGAATGTTTTAAAAATACCATAACAATATCGTTGATCTTAATAGTATTTAAAAGAAGAATGATGGGTTTTTATACGTTTGGAGCATTTGAAAATTCCTCATAATCATATTATATATACTATAAATCATAAATACTATATGTTAGCGGATAAATTAAAAACAGAATCTTGTTTTTTTTTTTTTTTTTGTGTGGAAGTCCGAAATTCAGAAAATATTGTCAACGTCAAAATGATCGCAAATCAATTTGACATAGCGGTATGAAAACTTTTTGGTTTATCCGACCGTTTTCAGAGAGTAGTTATACAGATGAAACTTGTTAGATAATCGTTAAATTTAAAAGTTCTGGTGTGAATTAAGTGTACATCAACAGTTGGTTATCAAACCGAAATCTAAATCAGTCCCAATATTCGTTGAGATGCACGCACAACAATAGGTAAACAATTTTATTTTGTGAAATTCGATATGAAAAAGTAAATTTAATGCAATTAACATGAATCAATATTTTTATCTTATAAAATTATTCCATGTGGAAATTAATTCACCAAGAGCTATGGCATCAAATGACTTGTGATTCTAAACAATCGTCACTAGTTACTAATAATAAAATGTTGTTTACAATTCTGATATTTCTAAAATGAAATAAAATTGCAATTATACGCTAGAACTCGAGTAATAATTTTAAATCGATGTTTTATATTCATGAAAACAAAATATATCGTTAAATAACATAATATATTTTCATTTAGCTGGTGCATGAGTTAAACATCAAAACTACAAGGATGACATGTAGTATATTTTATTTGAATACATTGATCGGTCGGACAGATGTTTAATCGAATTATTATTTATACTTTTGTAATTACGTGATAATGGATGAGACAACAATAATTATTGACATGTGTTAATAACTTAATGTTTTGGTCCAATCTTCATTTCCATTATTGTTTGGTAAAATTGTAACTAAAAAAAATATTTGTGTGATGTGTTATGAATACATAATATATATATATATATAGAGTTTCCTTCACAACTTTTATAAGAAAAAACTATTTATATAAATAATATTTGTGTGAGAATATAGAGAATTTTGTTTAGTTGAAAATAGTAGCTATCTTTTATTTCAATCATTAATCATTTAATCGACTGGGCAGCATTGCTGGATGACCCATTTGAATGTTTCCTTTTTATAATTAACGATTTTCATCCTAACGTTGCAGATCGTTTCCTTGATGCCATTTAAAGGATTTATCGTATCAGGCACTTTTAAAAGAATACCATTGTAAAATTTTTACGTGAATATAAATGAGACTACGTGTACCCGCTAAACTGAAAAATGGATGGTAAATTATCACTATGTTTACAATCGCACACCACGTATGATAATATACCGTGGTAGTGACTATCAGGTACATCCCAAGCCCTAAAACAACACCAGGCAGTCTACCACGATTATTTGATATCATAATCAAATAATGATGATTCTGATCAATACCGTCACGTAAAGGTTTTACAAAATGCATACAATATTCAGAATTGAAATATATTATTATTGTCATGCAGCTTAACTGAGAGTATAAACTAAAACCAATGGTATTATTACATGTGTAACATGCACGTCGAAAAATGTATTAAACACACATTATTTAAAACGCGGTATTATTAATTATTCTTTCTTTTTTATGCATATTTCAATGAATCCGATAAAATTTGAATGCTAAACGTGACCAACTAAACGCTATTATTCAAAATACGTTGTTCAATATTTCCATCCGTTCGTGATATATTATTATATATTATTTTAAGAATGTTTACCTTTTTGATATTACACGCCCATGTAACCATATTTTACACAGGAAAATTATATAACCACACATAGTATTAAGATGATAAATTAACTAAATAAACTAACTAAATAAATAAATTAAACAATATTTTTATTTTCTTAATTTGATATTCTGATTTATTTATAATGTAAATTATTGTCTCTTGAAAATGAGGCATTTTTATAAAATACATTTTTATTGGACTCATATATATAAATGGATATTTAAATATTATATTTTTGGTTTTTTTTTATTCGTTGTATAATGTATATGTAAATATACGTATGACTATAAGAATCTACATAGATTACAAAGTTGTAATAACTAGGAATGTGGAAAAGGGTTCTTTCTTGTATACCTGTTTTGCTTGACTTATTTTACCACTAGCATCTCATATGAGAACAAGTGTCTTCAGCATAATACATCTCCGAAAGCTCGAGCACACTAAAAAAAAACAGTAATACGAGATGTATTTAATTTTCTTTGTGAATCTAATACATTTCATTATTATGAACGTATCATATGTCATTTGTTTCGCCTGATTTAAAATTACATTATTTTAGGTATGTGTAATTAATGTTTTCATCAGTTAAAATATAAATATATACGAATAGTTCATAATGCCAATGTTTGATAACAATTTATTCTGTACACGCAATCAATACTTTACGACGAAAAAGTACACTAACTCGAGTAAGTACTTCGTATAATGACTCTGTGTCAAGAGAAATTACTCTTTAACGTAGGGCTTTGGTAATGTGGCGCAAGGTAAAAGCTTAATAAAGCTAATATTACACATTGTCGCTGTTAAGAATGCTTTTAAAAATATACATTGAATTATACATTTAAATAATAATATACTCTTAGTAGAAGTACATATTTGAAATATTTTATTCAAACGTCTTAAGATAAACTTGAAAAGACGAAAAAATTTTAAATTTCTCAGGCTTTGAATAGTGTAGCTACTTATTTATATATTTTATAATTTTTTTTTTTTTTTTTTTTTTTTTTTTTTTTTTTTTTTTTTTTTTTTCATAATATGTAAGTTAAACTAAATACGCCATCATAATGCACATAATTTTATCAATTTTATTAGTAAATAACATACCAAGTCATAGTGGTTTTATTTCTTATTTATTTATTTTCGAGAAAATGTTCTTTTATTATTTATTTTTAGAATATTCTGAGAAATCGTCTCAAGTTTTCTAAATATGTATAGGTGCCGACTATACATATATATTATACCATGGAAATTATTTAACCAGAATTTATTTTACACCACATTACCAATATGATTACAATAATGAAATACGGATAACCTACTTTCTATTTTTGTCCGGTGGATACATTTAAAATTGACAGTTTTATTAGAAATCATTTGGCGGATTTCCTTATCCGTCGCTTACATTGTCATAAACTTTCGTACTTGCTTCACATTGTGAATGTATAAATATCCTTATTAATCTCAAAAGATATAGATTGTGTCAGAAAAACATTAATACTATAGTTGAAACATTTTTAACATTCCATCCAAGTGGTCAGTTTAGGTCTCACGAACTGAGAAGCTGGGGCCATAGGAGAATTAACAATATTTAGCGTCCTTGTACGTGATATCAAAATTCCAAAAGTTTCTGTGCAAATATTATGTGATCTGTAGGCTATATGACCGTGAAACTGTCATTAAATATTCGCGAAACCGAAACGTTTAAGATTGTCATAAAATATAATAAAATGGTGTACAGATACATTTTATCTGTCGACGGAATGTTGTATGCAGTCGTATCTTTGCATGTCCAGGGCCGGTGAGAACTTTTGAGGGCCCCAGGGCTGATCGGTTTAAGAAGCCTTTTTAATTACACTTGTTTGACCAAGATACACAGACCATGGGACTTCTTGGAGGTACGGGCCTTGATTCTCTAGCCCTCTCTGATTCACCTTCTCACAAGCTCTGTACATGTAGGTAGTTGTTATTTCGACTTCTGAGCGATCAGTGCACCAACATACACTATGATTTCGATTTAAATGAAAATTTGGTAATGTTTGATTAGAATCGTTAACCAATCACCGCGTCATTTTCAAATGCCAAGAAGTTACATTTAACCGTTATTCCACCGGTGAACGGTGGAACGTAATATTTGTCACGCGTCGATTTTTACCTTTCGTATGGGTGTCATACTCGTCTGTGTCCCTGTTAAGTTTCCAAGGGATTCTGAATATTTCTTAATTTATTTTCTTTCCTA